AAAATCGTGGGGCAAGCGGCACCACCAATATCGTGGGGCTGGCAGCACCCCAAAATCGTGGGGCTAGCGGCACCCTCAAAATCGTGGGACAGGCGGCACCCCAAAGTCATGGGGGCTGGTGGCACCTCCAAAATCGTGGGGTTGGCGGCTAGCGGCTAGCGGCATCCCCGAAATCGTGAGGCTGGCACACCCCCAAAATCGTTGGGTAAGCGGTACCACGAAATCGTGGGGCTGACGGCATCCCCAAAATCGTGGAACTAGCGGCAACCCCAAAATCGTGAAGCTGGCGACACCCCCAAAATCGTGAGACTGACGGCACCTCCAAAATCGTGGGGCAAGCGGCACCACCAATATCGTGGGGCTGGCAGCACCCCAAAATCGTGGGGCTAGCGGCACCCTCAAAATCGTGGGACAGGCGGCACCCCAAAGTCATGGGGGCTGGTGGCACCTCCAAAATCGTGGGGTTGGCGGCTAGCGGCTAGCGGCATCCCCGAAATCGTGAGGCTGGCACACCCCCAAAATCGTTGGGTAAGCGGTACCACGAAATCGTGGGGCAAGCGGCACCCCCAAAATCGTGGAGTAAGCGGCACCCCAAAATCGTGAAGCTGGCGACACCCCCACAATCGTGAGACTGACGGCACCTCCAAAATCGTGGGGCAAGCGGCACCACCAATATCGTGGGGCTGGCAGCACCCCAAAATCGTGGGGCTAGCGGCACCCTCAAAATCGTGGGACAGGCGGCACCCCAAAGTCATGGGGGCTGGTGGCACCTCCAAAATCGTGGGGTTGGCGGCTAGCGGCTAGCGGCATCCCCGAAATCGTGAGGCTGGCACACCCCCAAAATCGTTGGGTAAGCGGTACCACGAAATCGTGGGGCAAGCGGCACCCCCAAAATCGTGGAGTAAGCGGCACCCCAAAATTGTGGGGCTAGCGGCACCCCAAAATCGCGGAGCTGATCGCTAGCAGCACCCCCAACCTTGTGGGACAAGCGGCACCTCAAAATCGTGGGACTGGCGGCTAGCGGCACCTCCAAAATCGTGCGACTAGCGGCACTCTCAAAATCCTTGGGCTAGCGGCACCCCAAAATCATGGGGCTGGCGGCACCCCCAAGATCGTGGGGCTAGCGGCACCCCAAAATCGTGGGGCTAGCAGCACACCAAAATCGTGGTGCTGGTGGCTAGCGGCACCCCCAAAATCATATAGAGAAATGACTTACTCAACTAGCAAAGATTTTCTTTATTATAAGAATATACAGACTGTCACAAAAGTTTGGAACGCATCAAATATCCGACTAATGACTCATCTATTTTTTTTTTAAATTGGTAGGTTTAGGTTCGAAACTACGGCGGATCTGTTGATGATATCCGTGATGTTGCCAAATTTTTAGCTTTTCAGAAACTGATAGCAACTTTTATTTTTCTTATGGAATGCGATACATTTTATTCGATATTTATATTCTGCGAGAAACTCTGAATACTTTTTATCAAACATACTTTGATGTAGACCTCATAGTTTTCGAAATAACGATAAAACGTACTTTTTTCACCTAAAGCAATTACGTATCTTGAAAAGTGACATTACGCCGATTTTTTTGACATTCTATTGGTTTTACTACTACTCGTCGTTGCTTTTCAAGGCGGTCCCGAGGACCTCAGCCTTTAGGTCATAGTCATTGTAATACTGTAATGTCAGTGTCTGCCGTCAGTCTGTCAGGTCTGGTGCCCCAGAAACCAGACAAGTTGTAGAGGACAGTGCGAGTCGCGGCCTGCAATGTTTGCGTATCTCCTCGACTGTGTAATCCACTGCTTCACGCAACAAAGGGTTGCTGTGCGATTCCGCTTGCTGGTAGCGCCGTTATGCCATACCTAAGATGTAATTCCTAAGGTAGGGGATGTCAAGATCTCTATGGATAGTGTCGTTTGATACATACCATGGGGCATTAGTTATTGTTCTGAGAGTTCTACTCTGTAGAACTTGTAGTTTACGCACATGTGACTTAGCTAAAAAGCACCAAGCCGCACATGCGTAGGTTATTGCAGGTCTGATGATGGTTTTGTATATCCGAATCTTATCAAACTCAATTTTGAGTACAAGAGGATACAATTGCCGAAATGTGATATGGAATTGAATTTTCAGTTGTTCAATGTGTGACTGCCAAGTCATATCCTTGTCGAGTGTAAGGCCTAAATATTTGGCTTTGTTAGCCCATGGTATCGAAACATCATCCAAAGTAATCTCTGAGAAGGCACCACGAGGCTTTTTTGTCAAAAAGATAGCCTGTGTCTTTGAAAAATTAATTTTGAGTAGCCAACGATTCGTCCACTCTAAAACATGACTGGGCTACTGATGCGGTGTCGTCGGCATAGAGGTAGACTTCACAGTCGCTGGGATGGGGGACGTCGTGAATGAAAATCAAGTATAAGAGTGGTCCTAAGACCGATCCCTGCGGAACTCCGGCCCAAATGTGCCGTGTTGTAGAAAATACACTGTTAATTCTGAATTTCCTTCCTTCTAGGAAGGATTTGAGTAGTTTTAATAGCCAAAAAGGGAAACCGTTTTGAATAAATTTATAGAGGAGCCTTGGGTGCCACACTTTGTCAAAGGCTTTCGCGACATCCAGAAAAAAGATTGCAGTGCTCTTGTCGTGGGTGAATCTGCTGGTTATACGCTCCACCAGCCTGACTGCCTGTAGCGCCGTACTATGCTCTCTATTGTTTTTTGTATTATGTAGGTTTTTCAAGATGTTAACTTAGCACTAAACGTCATGAGGCTTCAGTTATCAATGTTGTCTGATGTGATCTAAAATCTGCTTCAGAGATGACATTACTGAAGGTCTAAGCGCAGCAAGTTTTATGCTATAGCTAGAAGGAAACGGCACTGCATAGGTGCACAATGAGGATTTGTGAGCTAATAATATGTGTTGATGATAATTACATTGATTTTTTGTCTCAAATACATTCCAAACTAGAAATTAGTTGCGCATCCACTTTTTCTTATCCATTCTGGAAATTACATATTATGCAAATTTGATGAATTTCAAAAATTAGAGATATAAGAAATAATAATTATATTCACTATACACGTACACTATCGACTTACAAGTCATATACATGCTAACAGTAATAACACACAACTCGGGCGCGGTGGTGGTGATTTCCCGTAATTCTCCCCAAAAGTTTTCGTAATTTATAACTTTGAGCATAACCTGTCTTCAGAAAGGACAATGATTTTCTCACACAGCAAATATCACTGATTTTATACACTTGCAGACCAATACACATAATCATCCAGATGCGATCTTATTATTCAACCAACTTTCTTTTCAGAGATAAAAACTACAGACCACCCGGCTTCACAAAATATATGCAACCAACAATGCGTGTAGTTTAGTTGAGTCATTCTTCTATGATCCTAGTGAGCAATCGTGGAATGACTGTTTGCACCCTAAAAACTACCTAGTCTGTAAGATGACGTTTTATAGTTTTTTTTGACGCTTTATAGGTTTTTACATAAAAAATAAATAATTTCCTGTCATTTCTGACATTGAAAAGTCCATTGAGTTTTGTTAGTAGATTTAATAAAAATATGATTTACCTAACTAAAACCAAGGTCTACGTCAAAGTATGTTTGATAAAAAATATTCAGAAGTTCTCGCAGAATACCAATATTAAATAAAACGTATACATTCCATAAGAAAAAACAAAAGTTGCTATTAGTTTCTGAAAAACTGTAGATTTGGTAACATGGCATATATCATCAACGGATCCGTCGTGGTTTCGAACCTCAACCTACCAATTATTAAAAAAATTAGATGAGACATTCGTCAAACATTTGATGCGTTCCAAACTTTTGTTACAATCTGTATACATAGTTTCGAAATATCAATGTTTGCATAAGGTTATCAAAGTCTTCAAAATACTTGCACTATTCGAAATTTTTATAATCTTCAGTTTTGAAGCCTAAAAATTATCAAGTTCTCAAGCATCTTGAAAAAATTCAAGTATTTGGACGTTATGAAAATTTTGGAAGCATTGAAAACTTTACAGCCTACAAATATATCTCAATTTCGTTTAAAATTCAAGAGTTGATTGGCATTCAGCTCTCAAGGGTTGACTATAAATATGGGCAGCCAAAAAATTTCATTTACTAGAAGGAAGGGAAATCTGCTCGGGTACTATGTAAAAACTATAAAACGTAAAAAATAATAAAATGTCATCTTGTAAACTAAGTAGTTTTCAGTTTGCTCGTTATGACCGCTATGAGCGTCCATCTGTGGAGGAATAACTCAACTACATGCATTGTTGGTTGCATATGTTTTGTAAAGCCGAGTAGTCTGCAGCTTACATCTTCGAGAAAAAAGTTGGTTGAATAGCAAGATCGCATATGGATGATTATGTGTAGTGGTCTGCATATATATAAGATCAGAGATATTTACTGTGTGAGAAAATACATACATTTTCGCAATGCCTTACATCTATTGCTGAGTTGTATTTTCTATTAACATCGCAAAATAAATTTCTAAAAACTGTAAATAACTCGAAATAAAAAATACCTTTTCACTTCCATAAATATTCCTGTCTGTTGCATATTTTCTCATCTGTACCTTTACCAACCAGGTATTTTCTTTTCTTATCTCTCTCATTTTTGAAATTCAGCAAATTTGCATATGTAATTTCCAGAATGAATAAGAAAAAGTGGATGTGCAACTAATTTCTGGCTTTGAATCTCAAGTAAGTGTAATTGAGACAAGAAAGCAACGGAATTATCATCAACACATATTATTAGCACAAAAATTCTTCTAGCTATATATGCAACTTACAACACCACCAATACCGCCATCTCTGAAGCAGATTTTACATCATATAAGAGCCAAACATTGTTAACTGAAGCATTATGACCGTTTAGGCTACACGTACAACTACAAAAAGAGTTCACATCAGGTGTCCATCAGCTAGTGCTAATGTCAAAAAATCAACATGATGTCACTTTTCAAGATACGTAAAATCCGTGACGAAGTTTCTTGAAACACAGACCTAACGCCCTGTACACATTAGTTGTCATTTGACGTTTAAAAATGCTCGAAATTCAGTGGTGAAACGTTTAAAAATGTTCGAAATTCAGTGGCCATATGTAACAAAATTAAAATCAGTAGTATACAGCCTAAAAAAGGAAGTGCAACAAACTGAAAAGTATGCGACTCTACTTGATAAGTTAAAAGACCATGCCATCGTGACTTTGGAAAATAAGAAGCTGAATTTTAGGAAAAATATTACAATTCCGAAAATTTTCTATGGAGCTCAATACGAAGACAAGAGATACATACCAGTTACAATTATTGATAAAATAATTTATATAATAGACAAGTACGTTGTCATAATGGCTTATAAAGGTATAGTTGTAGTCACCGTTCTTGGCGGGTCAAAGTAAGACTACCAGTATCGTTGTTCGGCAAGCTCAAAGACATACGTTGTTTAGTTGTGTGTCTCCGTCTCGAAAACTTTGTCTTAAGTATGATTGCCCTTCAATCATATTTCTCAGAGTGACAACTTACTTGATATCGGCGTGCAATTCGGATTGTAATGTGATAACAAGGGTTGATAAACATTCAATATAAAATTGTACAATGCCCGGAAATACGACCAACGGTGAAGGCCGACAGCTCGTGCTAAATATATTAGAGTATTTCCAGGAAGATAATGAAAATAGCGAACAACTGTTACTCACTTCATGCGTACTGGAGAGAGTAGCAGATGCGCTGAAGATTAGTCTGCGCCCATGGTACGGAGACTCGATCTGTTTACTTATTTCATATGGCGTTGATGACGTAACCACCTAGAACGGTGACTACAACTATAGTATTCACTCTTTTTAAGACAAAATAATTAATACGAGTAATCCAGTTATACTAAGTGACATATAAATCCGAACACCCAGTATAAATGGTTTTATTTTAATAAAAGTTGGTGAATGTATTTATCTTACTGTAAATAACAAGTGAACAAATTTTCAGCCTTATCAGTTGGACATTCCGGTTTTTATACTGTTTTTTTTTAATTCACTAACGCTCTAAAAATGAATATTTCAGCCGCAGTAAAGAATCAACGTTGGCGGATTTTGGTTCTTGACATCCTTTACGATCGGTTACGATGCCTAGAGTACGGAGACCTGTACGATTTCGACAACTTAGTGAGTTTGATAGGGGCCGTATAGTGGGACTTCGGGAAGCTGGACTTTCTTTTCGGGCAATTGCAGTTAGAGTGCAAAGAAGTGTAGACACTGTGGTTAGGTGTTGTCAGGCATGGCTTCGAGAAGGCCGTACGCAAAGAGCAAGGGGCACTGGACGCCGCCGTAGAACAACAGACCGTGAAGATCGCCGCCTAAGATTATTGGCCTTAAGGGACCGTTTCTCCACTACCAGGTCCATTGCAAATGAATGGTTTGCAGAACACGGAAGACCTATTGGCATGCGAAGTGTTTACCGACGAATGAGAAGTTTTGGCTGTTTTCAAACCGGCCACACTGGGTCCTCCCTTTAACTCGAGAACACCGACGTAATCGCCTTGAGTGGTGCAGACAACGGTCACTCTGGGATCAGGAATGGAACAGTATTGTCTTTAGTGATGAGTCTCGATTTTGTTTAGGCATGCACAATGGTCTTGCCAGGGTTAGAAGGCGACGTGGTGAAAGGAGGAATCCACAGTTTTTTGTTGAAAGATATGTTCATCACACTGTTGGAGTTATGGTTTGGGGTGCTATAGCTTATGGTTCCAGGTCACCTTTAATCTTCATCAGAGGTAACATCAACGCGCAGCGTCGTTATATCCACGAAGTTCTAGAACCCCATCTTTTACCCTATCTTGACACCCTGGCAGATCCAACTTTCCAACAAGATAATGCCCGACTACATGTTGCAAGAGTCACAATAGACTTCTTTCAACATAATGATGTCACATTGTTACCATGGCCACCAAGATCTCCCGACTTATCCCCAATTGAGCACGTGTGGGATATAATGAGTAGGAGATTACTCAATTTGCAACGTCCTGCTCAGACTCTAGAAGCACTTCGAGAGGAGTTGGTGGTTGCCTGGAATGAGATACCACAGGAGGACATTGACCACCTGATCAGAAGCATGCCTAGGCGCGTTGGAGAATGCGTAGCACATCAGGGTGCATCCACACATTATTAAAGGTCAAAAGGCTTTAAAGCAGTGCAATCATTTTGAAATTTTTATCATTTACTTATTATGCTTCATTAAGTACTTGTACAAAATTTTATTAAAATAAAACCATTTAAACTGGGTGTTCGGATTTATATGTCACTTAGTATATATTCAGGATTTCACCTCAAAATGAGATATAATAAGCTGCAAGCTCATAGAAACCTTTATTTAGCATTCTAAAAGTGGTGTCAAAAAATCTCGTGTTTGTGTCTTAAGACTTCAAAGGTTAAATGTCACAAATATCCTTTTTCTGCAAAGATCCTCCTGTACTACGCGACAGGGGTATTACGTGTCTGAGAAGTGGCATTGTCTTTTTTATATTCGTCATTCGTACTATACTCGCAAGTATAGGTACACTCGGTATAATATGCAATGTCACGTTAATTGGGTCAAACGTGTTAAGCTCAATTTCACCAACGTCTGTCAGATTATATTTCGAATAAAAATGTTGTATGAAGAGATACAGCGGTTGTTGGAAGAAGTGAAAAATGAGTCTGAGCTATCTGATACAAAGCTTCAATGTCAACCCATTGATCAGAACATTCCAGAGTAAGTGTTTTATCAGTGCATTAGTCCAGCAAGGCAACATAAAATGTTTATACAAGCATGCAAAAATTCTATAATAGGTGAAAATTTGGCTTCAGGTAATAATGAAATAATGAAAACTTCCGGATGCGGCGGTAGGCTGGTACTGAAAATTTATTGAAAAATTTTTAGATTTTTGATTTTGTTGTAACGGTCCTATAAATATTATATTTAGTGACAAATATACTTCTGAACGTTAATTCTACTCCGGAATACATAAAGATTAAAATGAAAAGGTACTGGAAAGCTAAAAAAGGTTTACGTCACTGAACAGTTTTTAAATATGTCAATATTGTTATTTTATCAGGATGTTCTAATTCGGAGAGAGACAGAATTTTTTTTCTGACTTTATTTGTAGTAGGATTTCAAAATAAATTGCACATTAACATTGCCACTTTTTCTCCTCTACAAGAAGAAAAAATTAAAATTTCAATATGACGTTTAGTCCCTTGCCCTCCAGCATCAACTTTATTTTTTCTTATCGACGCCATATTGGACATTTGCACAGATGAATACAGTTTTCAATTCTGATCCCATATAATGTATAATACACCACGTTACACACAGTTATTTCGAAAAAGCAGAATTTCCTAGATAGGCCTTGAAATTATCCCAAAATCACTTTTATTTTTTCTGCATTGCGCGAAATCAGCACTGCATCCGCGTTGATTGTAATTAAGCCACATCACAGAAAAATTAGGAATGACGCATCTCAGACAAAACATTTTCGCACTGCCTCACATCTAGGCGCTTATTTATATATATATTATAAAATTTATGTAATAACTTTTTGACGTTTCATAAATATTCCTGTAAGTACCATATTCTCTCAACTGTCAGTCTTAATATATAGGGTGGGCCATTAAGCTGAGCAAATTTTGAGAAATCATAGAAAAAAACTACAAAGCGTTTTATAATTTTAATAAAGTAGACACATGAGAATTTTATTTTTAAAAATAACATCATTAAGATGTGATCCATCGAGATGTATGCACTCCTCGAATCTCGACTTCAAATTTGTGAAAACTAGCTGACACATCGCTCGTGGGATAGCGGACATCTCCTCGGAAACGTTGTGCTTGAGCTGGGCGTAACCGCGGCTCTTGAGGTATCCCCAGAGAAAAAAACTCAAGTGGCGTGAGATCTGGGTTCATGGGAGGCTAAGGAATGTCCCCTAGTCGCGATATCAGTTTTTCACTAAACATTTCGTTTACATCTGCTAAAGACTCGTTGGCGGTATGGAATGTTTGAACCAGGTCCTGCTATGGTGAGCTTCAAAATTATGCAGTTGTTGAAAGAGAAAGTTAAGTAACATTAGAATTTAATGTTACAGTATGTCCTTGCTCGTTTTCGAAGAAATTGGGCCCGATCATTCCTTCAGACGACATGGATGCCCAGAACATAACATAACACGAATGCTAAGGTCGTTGGTGTTTTAATTTGAGATTTTCTGTGGTCCAATACTCGTTAATTTTGCTTGTTGACAAATCCACTCAAATGAAAATGAGCTTCATCAGAAAAGAGAATATTTTTCAAACCTGGAAAGGGCTCTAGCATTGTTTTGGAAAACTCACGGCGTAGTCGGTGGTACTAAGTTTATATGAGTGCAATTTAAGGTTTTTTCCTAAAATACGCCTTAAGGCCTTATTGTACGTTTTGTGAGACAGGACAAATCGTATCCGATAAAACGTGGCGTGTAAACAGCAAAACGTACGTCTTGTCGAATCGAAATGACATCCAAGGTCAGATTGAAAAACTGATGGGAGAATCATCATTTTGCGAGAACTGATAGGACAAAACGAATCGTGTAGACTCATGTTCAGACAAGACGTCCGATCTTGGCTCAGTTCACGAGTTGCTCCACTTCAGTTCGCTTCCTTATTCCCCAAAAACCTAATAATGCAATGCACCCACGATTTTCTCGGGGAATTCATTGAAATGTATAAGTTTTCCGTGTTTGTAGAAAGTGAAAAATAAAGACTCTAGTGACCGTAATAAAAAAAACGCGTATGAGGATCTTATAAAAAATCCAAAGAAATAGACCCTATGGCAAATAAAAAGACTGGTACAAAAAAATAAACTCGTTAAGATCGGTTTACAAAAGAGAGTTGAAAAAAGTGAGGGCATCAGACATCTCTGTTACTAACCCTAGCAATTCACAATAGGCTGAGGTGTCCATTCGGAAATAATTGCGGCTGTCATCAAGTTCGCTCCTCAGTTGTTTCAATAACGAGACGTGGGAATACTAGCTTCTTTTCAGAAGCCATTCCCTTGACCATCTTGTCTTTTCCCTCTACAACCCTTTTCCTCTTAGTCGTTGTATCCTTACAGTTGAAAAAGCAGTAGTGTTTCCTCCATAATAAAAAAAAGTCTCTCAAAAAAATTGACTACACCTCACACAACTCTAGAGTTTATATTGGAACTGTAGTAGAAAACGGAAGGTAAAACACGTAGTGTGTATACACTGGACAAAACGTACGTTTTGTCGTACGCCCGAAAAAACGTACTTTAAGACGTAGCGTGTAAGCCCGCCTTTACAGATATTCTTGATATGGAAAGCTCAGCTGATCTCTTTCGGGATGATAACTGGTTCGCGCCGTACGGACGTTGCAACTTCGCTTACATTTTCCTCTGTTCTTATTGACCTTGGACGCGCAGGTTTCTGATTTAGTAGACTCGGTAGACTCGAACGTTCTGACCCATGACCTTATCACACTTTCACCATGACATTGATTTAGATAATGTAAAATAAACTCAGAGCGAATCTCCATTTTTGTTATAAGCCTTAACACAGAACGCATGCTGCTCACCGGTGGAACGCTCCATGGCGACTAAATTTCCGAGCACCACGCTACTTATCTCCACTACCCGTGTCCCGCTGCCGCGTGCGGTTTTGAAATTGGTACGTCCTTCTGGTCCACCACGTACTTCACCAACTAGGATTTTCTTTTCTTATCGCTATCTTTTTTGAAATTCAGCAAATGTGCGAATGACGTTTAGGCAACATGTACAGCTATGGAAAGAGTACACAGCAGAGCTAGTGCTAAGTTTAGGCAACAGGTTCAGCTACAGAACGACTGCACATCAAGTGAACAACAGCTATTCTCTAGGCGCTGAAGAAAGAAACTAAACCCAAACAAATACACGCATATTGCTCGTGAGTGAGTGTTTAGGCGCAGGAGACATTACAGGACCGCATCAAGATATTATGGGTAGTCATCAAAAATTTCATACAAGATAATTATTATCTTTTACAGTAAATTTCAGTTAGAGATTCACAAATGAGTTAACTACACTTTTTAGTTATTAGTAAGTAAGCTGCGCGCACTCATTCAGAAGAGGAACTTGAATCTTCTGAATCGTTTAAATGAATTATTAGAGGTTCAATTTGGGTATCGATGACATTGTCCAAATCCCACATTTTGACCTCAACCTTCTCCCAAACGTGGCGGATACAGTTTTTCCATTCCTCTGCCGTAACTCTATTGACTGCGATGTGAAAGAGATTTTTAACATCAGAAAATTTATAAGTATTATTATTCGACGCCACGTATTGCTTTATGTTGGCCCAAATCAGCTCAATAGGGTTCAGCTCACAATGGTAGGGTGGCAGTCTCAAGACAGTTTTATTGTGTTTTTTGGCCATTTCGTCGATCATTTTAAAATCGTATTTGTATTTATGTCTATTGACTATACTTATCAATTCACCCTTGACCATTGTTTCATCAAAATCGATCTGTTTTGAGGCCAGCCATTGTTGTATGTTTGCTTTTTTAGTTGCCATTGTGCGAATTTTTTCTATTTTTCTAGAATGGTACGGGGCATTATCCAGTACAATAACAGCGTTATTCTCCAGTTTTAGTAACATTTTGGAGAACCAATTTTCAAAGGAATTGCCGTCCATCTCCTCATGATAGTCCCCTGTCTTTTTTGATTCAAAGGCCCACAGTGCTTCGGGAACAAAGCCGTCTTCACTACCTACGTGACAAATGATCAGCCGTTTGCCTTTTCCTGGAAATAAATTATTCCTTACTCTATGGATTGATTAAATTTGAAGGAATGAGGCAATTGAGTTCATTTAGCTGAATTTAAGAGTCACGGAATGCTGATCAAAAACTGAAAAAGTAGAAAATTGAAGTTTGCAACTTCTCAAAACCCATTCAAAGCAAATTGACTGCACCCAAAAATGATAATAAATTTCAAAATAACGCTTAAAAGAGGGTCGAAGTTTTTTTCCTAATGACTACACTGCGAATGCACCATTTTTGGAGAATATCACACATTATCTGCTATCACAGCATATTATTTGCCCGAATTTATCAAAATTAAATTGCCGGATAGATGAAGGAGCTTACCTGCAGGATTTTTCAATCCAGCCGAAAGACCGTCTAGAAAAGCCTGCCTTGATGATGTTACTGATTTGTCGACCCAAACTTTCGCTTGAGTATGTCCAGCATTCACCCACGTTTCGTCCAAATAGTAAATTTTTCTTTTTTCATCGCGAAACTTCCGAATCTTCCTAAGGTATTCCCTTCTCCACACAACAATTTCTTCTATCTCTATTAACATACTGTTTCTTCCCCGTTTCAAGAATCGAAAATTAAGTTCCTTCAAAAGTTTTCGGAATGTGGTTCTTTTAAATGATGGAAGATCCTCATCAGCATTAACTAATCTTAATATCTTATCTACTGTAGGTATCTCATTTCGGAAGAAAAAATTATGCACTTTCCTCCTGATGGCAGTTCTGTCAAAGTCATCTACTCCGTCCGTTATCCTTTTTCTTGCAGGATACGGTTTTGGCTCAGAAAGTGAGTGAGTGCTCCTATATTCCTTAATGATCCTATAAACACTGGACCGACATACTCCAGAAATATGTGCTACCTTACATATAACTTCGTCCACGACCAAATCGGGTTTGGTTTTTGTATATATTTAATATTATTTGTTTTTCATTTGCACTTAAATGTAGCTTCTTAGCCCTTTTTTTGGGTGGGGTTGCGCTGATGTCAACCACTTCGTCGGCTGTATCTGTGTCAGACATCGTATCTTAGGCAATATATAAACAAAACGTTCCACTCGCGAAAAACGAGTATACGCTACTGAATGCGTAATGCGTATGCAATGCAATCCTGTGCGTGAATTAACTGTTAGATGCCTGTCGTGTCATCTACAATCACGTTTCCAAGTCCAAACCTGTGCAGATTCGTAGAGCGCCGACGACTGCTAGTGACCTTGAATTTGTCTGTAGATCGATGTTACTCCAGTCAATTTAGGTTCAAAGTGGATGTTTTCTAAACCAATTTGTTGTTCCTACATCAAAAATATATCGATGATGTTTTGTACTGGGAGCTCATGAAAGATCAAGGTAACTTATTTTAACAGTCATCCTTTTTCTAGTCTCAAGATGACACGAAAAAGGGTCTGTGGATTCACTAGAAATACACTGCCGAGGATGTTTAGACCTAAAGTGACTGGAGTATATCCGTGGATGCTTTCGAGGGATCTGTTCACGTGCTGATCACTGTTTACGTTTAATGTCTTTCTTCAGCGCCCAGAGTATAGTTCCAAGTTGATATATTGTAGAAAAATCTACATAGTGTCACAAAAACCTAAATAATGTCAAAAATTGACATAATGACATTTTTCAAGACGCGACTGAATTTGTGATATATTGCTTTCTGAGTGTTTATGTGTTTATCGAAATTACAGAGACATCAGCTCCATCCAGAACAAATATGACTTGATCATAAGCGACCTTCGCGAAATGAAGGAGAACATTCAGGAGCGAATAAGGATCGTGGAAAAAACGGAACTAATCATGAATCTGCTACAGTACAGGATGTACGAGATCCGTTACGATTTCACGATGAAATTCAATCAATTAACTCAACAGAGAAACGAACTCAAGACCGGAATGATGTTGAAGGAAACAGAGTCGCAGGCTGCTTTCAAAATCATAGAAACAGAAAAAGAGATTGCAGAGTGTCAAAATACGTACGATGCGCAGCATAGATGTGTCAAGGAACAGATGCTGGTGAGCACGAAAGTAACAGAGCCTAACATTTGTCAATATTAATATACGAGTATGTATGTGTTTGCACCTGAATTGCACATGGATTTATTCCTACGAATGCAGCAATTTATGGTTTCCTATATTATTGTTATAAAATTGAACCCATGCATACATATATCATTATGTTTCCGCCTCGTCTCGTAAATAGAACAGGTGTAGCCCTCTGTTTCCCCGTGCAAAACGCGGCAACCGCGCCCTCCCAACTTCCTCTTACCAGGCCCCTGGTCTACAAACTTTCATTCCTTGTTCTCGTGCCACGCGAAACACGTCGACTTACTCGACTTCGCTCATCATAATTTACATTTTCACTAGTGTCGAGGTGCTCAAACATAAGAAACGACAAAGGAACAGCTCCTCAAACGAGCAATCGCTCAACACAAATATTAGAAGCTGGAGCGAAGGTGGGCCGATAATTATGATGTGCACACACCTTCTGTGTTGCTTTCGACGCGGATACGAAATATAGCAGCGGTGTATTCGTGGATCACCAACCGCCTTAGATGCAGACTCATAAAGTGGCGTGCCGGCCTCTTTTTCTGAAGGGACGTCACAATCACGTCATTGTCAACTATTCTATGTAGGTAGTTTATGAAGTTAGGTAAATGTTAGTGCGGATGCGTCACCGGCGTTCCGTCATTGGGCTCAGTTGTTTGAGATAGCAACGTGGACCTGGCTTGTGATAGTCATCTCCACGCCAATGACGAAAGAAGGCGTTTGGGATAACGACTCAATACTGAACTCTGTTGCTTGTGATGGTAACTTGTATTAAGCTTGTGATGGCTAAGATCCTAAGACAAATAACAACGCTGAAAGCATTTGGGACAACGTAACGACACATTATGGTCAACAATTTCTTTCCATTTGCTTGTGATAGCAAATTCCACCTGGTTTGCGGAACAGGACTGTAAGTATGAACATGACAGGTTATTTTCGAGTTTCCCAGTTCATTTCGAGTGGTTTCTTTATCATCATGGCAGACGCAGAAGATCCGCCACGACCTCGCCATAGCGAGCACGGGCAAACTTTTACAAATGAAGAATACGCAGACATAATTTTCTGTTATGGACTTTGTAACGGCGATTCTGCAGCTGGCTGCCGTGAATATCGGCAACGTTTCCCGAATCGCCGAACACCTCATGTTACTGTGTTTGACTCTGTGTATCGGCGCATCCGCCAAACCGGACGTGTTCAAAGGCAACATAGTGATGCTGGTCGACCCCGAGTCTATCCTCCTGAAGATGAAGAGGAAATCCTTCGTGTGTTTCAGGAAGACCCTACTACGTCTACGCGCATTGTGGCTGCTCAGTTGGGTATATCACAATACAAAGTATGGTTTACTGTGCATACCGCAAGATTATACCCTTATCACTACACGCCTGTGCATGTGATTGAAGAGGGCGATCCTGCAAGACGATTAGATTTCTGCAGGTACATGTTACATGCAGATACAGAAGATCCAGACTATTTTAAGAAAATTCTGTGGACCGATGAATCGAGGTTTGATAAGGACGGGATCACTAACTACTATAATGCTCATTACTGGGCTGATAAAGAAGCTTTAAACCCTCGAAAAATAAGACCGACGGGGTCTCAGAGACGGTTTTCAGTCAATGTGTGGATGGGCATCATTGATGGATATTTAATTGGACCTCATTTTCTGCCCGCCAATTTAAATGGAGAGTGTATGAAGAGTTCTTGAATCACTTGTTTCCATTAATGGAAGACGTCCCATTGGCGACGAGACAAAATATGCGGTTCCAGCACGACGGCTGTCCCGCACACTACAGTAGATTAGTACGGGCGTATTTAGACTCTAAATTTCCAAATCAATGGATTGGCAGAGGCGGGCCCATTGCCTGGCCAGCAAGAAGCCCAGATCTCACACCGATGGATTACTATGTGTGGGGACATATGAAAAGCCTGGTGTACGATGTTTCGCCCGTACCAACGCGCGATGAATTAATTACAAGGATAATCAGTGCAGCTGACCAAATAAAAAGCCGCTTAACAACTAGAGTTACCAAAAGTGAATTACGTAAGAGAATGCGGGCGTGTATTCGTAACAGGGGATTACAATTTGAGCAGAATCTGTAAAATACTAAAGGAAATGTAATTAAATAAAACTGTAGTTAAAATAAAAGCCTTTTATTTATCCTACGTAATTATCGTTCGTACAACTTTACTCACCTTTTTTTAATTTTATGTCTTTGTACTTGAGTTAGTTGTAACTTTTATACCTCAAATGAAAGCTTGTTAGATAGAGATATTATTTACATAATTTGCACATTTCATTACTAGTAGATTTTTTACAGAAAATTGCATTTTTTATCGAATAAGTTAGTAAAAAAATAAGAAAATCATAGATTTCAAAAGCGTAATTTTAAAACTATTGTAAATTTTCAACATTTTACTCATTATGAACTATTGGAATGTCCGCTATGCGACGATAGCAAAAAACTCAAAATCAAACATGTAGTTTTTTTTGTATTTCAAATTTAACCGTCTGAAATCGGAATAAAAAATAAAAAAAATCAAATTCAAATAACTCAAAAACGGTTAACTTCTGAATAGGACATTGTAGGACAAAATCGGTTGCTTTTGACCTAATCTTAACAGGAATACGTGACATTACAAGTCACTCTATCTATGCGAGACCTGCGTTACATTTTGTTTGTGTGCAAATTTCATCTGGTTTGTGATAGTCATGGAACAGGACTGCAAGTATCCACATGACATACCTCGAAACCGTCGAAGTACTCATTTATCATTTATAACAGATAGAAATTAGGTACATCTATGTGAGACTAGCGTTACTTTTTACTTGTGATAGCAAATTCCATTTAGTTTGTGATAGCCGTGGAACGGGTCTGTAAATGTGCACATAACAGGTTACGAAACCGCCGAAGTACCATTTTTCATTAATAACAGATCGAAATTAGGTACATCTATGGTAAACTAGCGTTACAGTTTGCTTGTGATAGCAAATTCCACCTGGTTGGTGATAACTATGAAACAGGACTGTATGTATGAACACGACCGGTTAGGAAACCACCAAAGTACTAATTTTCAGTAATAAGGTATCATTATGGCACTCGAACAGCAGGGCGCTCTGGATTCTGATGTCTTAAAGGCCATGCATTCTGTTCCAATAGATGACGCATCACCACGATGATGGGGCGACCTTAGTGTAATGTTCACGCATTGTTCCACGGCTGACATTTCCAGGGCAACTGACATTGATGAGATTAGATTAATAAATTTTATTCTAGCCGCCTAACCTAACGCTGAGGTAGCGGCCGCTATAATAGAAATTGTCGCACGCAGGGATGCGCGCTTTGTCTATATGAGTTGTTCATTAACTGCAAGTGGCAATACTCTCTCCTCCATGCTCAGAGAAGGGACGGGGCACGAGCTGGCAGATATTCATCGCAGGGAATCAATTTCTCGTCAAGAGCTTATGCGGCGAATTTAAACAAAGAACTGAGGAGTACTCTAACAGACGCTTCTATTGATAACTTCCTCTTCGGAGTGAGTCTGATCAAACAAGTCAATTCTAAATAGAAATCAGTCAAATACGGGCAGCAACTGAAGGCCAAAAGGCCGGACAACGTACTAACAACATCAGTCATCACCGATTATTGCAAATGAGGTGCGTAGATCAGTTCATGGTTTTTGGTTACCTGAGAAGATCCTGCATGCAAGTCATCTGAAACCACTAGCAGTTTTCTCCGGTCGTGAACGTTTTGCTCGTCGATGATGCGACGACTATACCGTACATCAATAGAATGGAGGAGTTTCCAGTTTCCACGTCTTCACCAGGTTGCAGGACAGCTATGGCAGTTATGTAAAGGGAGAAACGTTACTGACCTCGCGTCAAATATAAAATCTAGAAGTAATACAGATACACATGAGCTTTTGCGTCAGTGGAAATGAAGTGGGAATTCCACCTGCCAGCGTCTTGATGGTGGTTCATGTGGTCGGTATCCCTGAAATTTCGCTTCACGCAAAGTGTGAAGCTTTTGTATCCTGGTGGAGGAACCCCGCTTCCACTAATACTGAAGCTTACAATGGCTGTCGTCCCTAGAAAGGTGTCATTAAAATCAGCATCTACAACACAATATCAGGAAGAAATATATGTCTGTTTTTCTGCCTTGATAACCAATACCTTGAAATTTCTGACCTTACAGTTTGCTAAGAGATATAATTGTTTGATTTTATAAGTCAGCTATCAGTTTTTTATCCAAAAAGTTACTAACGATGCAGGTATAAGACGGTTTTTCAAGGGCGTTTACAGGTTGAGCTCTCAGCCGAAATATAGCCCCACTTGAGATAGTGTTTGTTCTCAACCATCTAGAGGGGCTGCTGGTGACCTCTGTAGATATTATATTGGAAGAGGAAATCAGCAACACTGCTAGCCCTAACTTCAGGTCAACATTCGGCACGGGTATCATGTAAAAAAACAATAAAACGTCAAAAAAACCTATTAGATGTCATCTTGCAGACTAGATAGTTTTTAGGGCGCAAACAGTCATTCCACGTTTGCTCACTAGGATCGTTGTGAACGTCCACCAATGGAGGAATCACTCAACTAAGCTACACGCATTCTTGGTTGCATAGTTTTGTGAGGCTGAGTGATCCGTGTCTGTAAGCTTTTATCTCTGAGAAGAATGTTGGTTGAATAGCAAGATCACATCTGGATGATTATGTGTATTGGTCTGCATGTGTGTAAAATAGAAATCAGTTAAATAGGGACAGCAACTGAAGGCCAAAAGGCTGCACAACGTACTAACAACATCAGCCATCACCGATGATTGCAAATGAGGTGCTTAGATCAGTTCATGGTTTTTGGTTACCCGAGAAGATCCCGCATGCAAGTCATCTGAAACCACTAGCAGTTTTCTCCGGTCGTGAACGTTTTGCTCGTCGATGATGGGACGACTATATCGTACATCAATAGAATG